AAATAATATCTGCTTTATAAAAATAATAATAATAATTTCACAATATTTTAAACGTAAAATTTAGTTTTTAATCACAATATAAAAATCATGGTAAGTTGTATTAAAAAGGTGTTATGAGATAAAAAAAATTAACTGAAATAATTAAATAAAATACCTGATGAAAATAGAATGCATTAATTACATTTGACCTTTCTTACTACTAATTCTAGTAAATAAAATGCCTTTTTATATAAGTATAGATATGTTACTTTCACGTAAATACTAATATATATATATATATATAAAAATTGTTTCTAACAATTATTAGAAATATGATTGATTCTTAAAAAGAATCTTTAATTGACAATTATTAATTAAAGGTTTTATATTGTATTTTATTTTTTTTAAAAATACGTATGGTAAGTATATTTCTTAAATTAAGTGTATTAAGTATGGTAAGTGTATTTCTTAGATTTATTTTGATTTTGATTCCATATTTTTGATTGCATTCCTAAAAAAATTGGATAAAAAAGATATGCTAATAAATAGAGATTTTGTTAAGTTACTATTTTTAGGCAATAATTAATGAAATTGGCGGGAAAATATTTCTAAAAGTGAATTATGTTAATCCTTATTATATATTAATAGATTTTGGGTATATAAATGTCAATCCAAATTGTTGATTATCATAAATATGATAAAATAAAAAAGAATACTCACACATGAGAATTGGCGCCACGTAAATTTAAATTGTATATTGTGCATATAACATATATTTGCTAGCCTAACACAAATCAATGATTCTAACAAATACGTTAAAATAATAAAGAATCATCCATGAAGGAGAATTCCCAAAATCTTGTTTGCATATATAATCTTGTTAATGTTAATTAAAAATATTTTGTTGTCTTTTGAATTAGTTTTCTTGCATTATTACTTAAACCAAGAGTGATTGTTGTATTGATTTACTATTTTTTTTTATGTTTTCCAATGTAAATTACTAAATTTACCATGTGATTAAGGTTAATTTCCATTTGTAAATTTGCCTAGCATGGATCTCGGGATTACGGTTAATTTCCATTAGTAAATTAGTAAATATATACGTGTGTGTATAATAAGGAAACGGAAATTAAGAATTGATTAAAATAAACCCAAATTAAAAGGTAAGTTATATGAAAACTATGCAATTAATAATTTATTTTTATTTAAATCATATTATTTTATTTCTATATATAGTAGGTAATTAATGCTTATGGCGGCAAAATAATAAAAATCACAATAACAAATCATTCCCATATCTCATCCGATATTGTCAAAGCTTTACTGTGGTAAAAGAAATCTTATACTAAATGGTCCAAATTTAATTAGGTAACTCTATATTACATTGTATAATATATTCATATTTATTTATATATATATTTGATAAAATTCAATACACATACTATATATTTTTTTATTCAACATATTATTCATATAGATTATTGCCATACATATAAATTAATAAGTTAACTATATAAATACTTATTTATTCATTTTTTTAAAAGATTTACAAAATTGTATTACAGTGTATAATAATATAATCATTTTTTTTATATATATCTGATAAAATTCAATACACATACCATATATTTTTTTATTCAACATATTATTTATATAGATTATTACCATCCATATAAATTAATAAATTAATTATATAAATACTTATTTATTCGTTTTTAAGGTTGGTTATTGAGAATTTAATGCGTCTATATCTTCTCGGATTCTTTGACAATATCCTCGGCATATAAGTTTTAATTGCCTAAAATTACTATTTATAGGGTATATTTAATGCTTATGGCGGGAAAATGTTACTAAAATGATTTAAGTTAATTCTTATTATATATATAGATATAGATATTTGCTTCTCGTAATTCACAATCACCACCATTTCTCAAATCTTTTTTTTTTTTTTTGGATCAGTTGGAAAGTTACCTTCGGTCTTGGAGTAACAGCTTCAAAGCTATGGAATATGGGTGTGTCAAAGTGTGGGGGTTCCAAGACGATATATGCCCCTTTGTTTCGGTATCTCTCTTCTGTTGCCTGAAAGTAGACAAAATATGAAAAAAAAAACCAGTCTGATTTAATTTATATCTATCAAAGATAGCCTTTACATCAGTTCGGTATAGTGATCTACAGTGTATACATGTGCATGTATTATCAGTATCTCAACAGAAGATAACGGGATATTCATCTGGATTGGGTCTGTGGGAAAGTGTGAGTGGACATAATTGAGTCAAAGGCTGACGACTTAATGCCATCTTTATGCTGGCCTCACATGTTGTACTTTGACCTTAATGGGAGCTTTATCTCATGGTTAGTTTTGAGTATTTAATTTGTCAATACTGAAAAATTTTTTTCACTCCTTTTCCTGTGATTCTATCTCTGGTAGCAGTGTGAAGGAAAGGGAAACGACACAACATGCTTTGAACATTCATTCTTCTACTAGTTTAGCTCGCAATGCACATGCTTAGAACTGGCTCTTTTCTTGTTTGAATTTGTTCGTTGACTTCTATCAAAATGATAAAAATTAAACGTTCATACCATAGTGATATTTTTCTTTTCTCTTGATCTACTGATTCCTACACTATGGGCTTACCAAATTTCAGAGTTTAACATACCAAAAGGTTTGAGCACAAGAAAATTCAGGTATGGTTTTGTATGCGCCATTGAAAATCTGTAAGTCTTCTAAAAAGGGGAGTTGTTTTTTGAAAAAATTTGATTGCCAAAAAATGTCCTTTACTAAAATTAATTTCTAATGTCACTAGAGTAATCTTATCACTGTTAGGGAGTTACAATTATTAACATCCATTTCTCGATGAAATTTTGTTCATTTTTTTCAATAAAATTAAATTGAAAAATATTAGTATCAAGTATCATATATTTTAAAAACCTCTTTGTTTTTCAACCCTTAGGATCATAGATTTGGATTCATATAGATATCCACCCGTGTGGTACTTCATGACATAAGCCAAAGCATAATCCTCCTATATAACTAATATATTTTTTCATAATTCAAAATATTTATTTATTTAGTAAACAAACATATAATCCAACCATAAATATAGTTTTTATAATTTTTAAATTATAATATAAAAATTGCCAATCATATTATTAAATTTATCACATAATATTAAGTTAATTACATTAATAACATTATTCTTTATATTTAATAAGGTAACTTTTGCTTTCATTACTTTTCGAGATAATTAAAATTTTAGAAGATTTCGAATAATATCATTTAAGTTCACCTTTCAATAATACACATAACATAAATTATTTTCCATAATAATGTGTTCGGTTTATAAATCCTTTATTTTAATTTTTGCATGAATAAAACAATAAAATTACTATAGAAAACAAAATAACAAATATGCAACGAAATCATAAATTTATTATATTTACAAAATAGTTATCATTAGAATCATTTAAATGAAAATAATGAATATGTTTACTTCACGATGTCATAATCAGCGTTATTTGTGACATTATTCGCTATTCGGGCCATATTCATTCAAAAATTGTTATGCCTCACTTCTTTGAAGGCAAAAAAAATCATTATTAACAACATTATAATACCTAGGGCCTTGAATTGATGCAAATTGAGAAAGTTTTAGATACTGTATTGATAGATATTGTATCAAGGTGCATCATCCCTTTCGCAATGAGTTTATATATGATCCAAAGTTATTGTTTGGACCAATGCACGTTAAGATAAAAATATTACACAAAAGAACCATTGATTTATATAAGTCATTGAACCCTTTTTTAACGTGTAAGGTAGTCTTGAATTTTCATATATATAAAAAAACTAGTGCACATGCAATAATGTTCGATGAACACATTGGTTATAAATATTTGGTTATATGCATTAAGTATCTCTAATCATGTTATTATTCACTAATATTTTTCAAATAAATATTTATATTTTATATTATGATGACATCTTTGGAAAAAAAAAAAAGGTATATATGAATTAGCTTGCAAGCATACCTCAAATTTTAAGTTTTATATGTTATCAGCCAAATTTAAGTTAAAAAAAAAAAAAAANNAAAAAAAAAAAAAAAAAAAATCTCCCAATAATCGAAAGATAAGAATATGAAAATATCCTAACAAAGTTAATTAGATTTACAATACATTCATATATATTAGCACAAAAATACATTAATACATGGGTAAATTGCAGTTTTGATACCCAAACTAAAGTTCATTTCGAAATCAGTACCCGTTTTTTAACATTTATAAAATCAGTACCCAAACTTTCATTCTGTTAGCAACGTTAGTACCCGGCCGTTAGATCTCCGTTAAATTTCCGTTAGTTGTTAACGGAAGTAGGCAAAATGGAGTAAATTTTTTTATTTTTTTGGCTCATGATGAAATCCATATACATAAGACATTTGTACCTTTTTTTTCAAAAAACAAAAACGCAGCCTCCACTATTTATAAAAAATTTTTTTTGGATAAAATCGATTTTTTTTTTTAAAAATGTAATAAATCGAGAAAAATGAGAAGACATGGTTTCTCTTCTAGTTCAAGCAGTATATCTTGGAATAATAATTTTCCAATAACAAAAATATAAATTTCCTTCTATTTTGCCTACTTCTGTTAACAACTAACGGAAATTTAACGGAGATCTAACGGTCGGGTACTAAAGTTGCTAACAGAATGAAAGTTTGGGTACTGATGTTGCAAATGTTAAAAAATGTGTACTTATTCCGAAATAAACTTTAGTTTGGGTATCAAAACTGCAATTTACCCTTAATACAATGTGTATTATTAAAGGTGAAATTAAATATTTTTATTCTAAATCTTTTTTCTTAATATGTTAGAAATAAAAAAAAAAAACTATTAATAGTATATATTTTTTTACTTGAGGAAAAAATCAAAATAAAATTTACATTTGTGTATAATGCATGATTGGCTTGAATCATTAACACAAATATATCAAATCTAAACGATGTTGATTAACATTGAATTAACAATTAAATCTAATTGCTAACCGTGACAACAAAGGAAGATATAACGACAATGATAATGATGATGATTATGAAGACGATATAAATTAAATAGAGAAATGAGATTTCGTTAGCAATCAACAATCATTGAAAGTCGATTGATTTCATTCTGGATTTTCAACACATATTTATTTATTTATTTTTGTTTAATTATAGCTTTTAATTAATACCATTAAAGATTATGTTTCATGGCAATATATTTTTATAATGTATCATATATGTGTTTCTTCTTATATTACCCCCCTATATATTAATTCAGAATAATATGTGTTTCAAGCATAGAGTCAATAAAAATCCCCCCTATATATTAATTTAGAATGTGCTGAGCCTAACTGGTAAGCTCGCATGCTTCGAGATCCTATGTGGCAAACTTACATGCTTCGTTATTAGGCTTGGGTAGATTTTAATTTACTTTCAAACCAAAAACAATTAAGTCTAGTTTATTCGTAAATATGTTGATTATTTATGGTCATGTTACATTTATTAATTGCATTTTAATATCATTTCATATTATAACCGTTGAATAGTAAATGTATTTTAAAAGATAACTTTGTATTTTTTATTAGTTTTACACATATAATATATCAAATTAATCATCTCTTGATAATCTTCGATTTAACATCTATATCCATATTGTATGTATAAACAAATAAATTATATTTATCTTTATAACAATAATAAAATTATTTTTTAATATTAATTAAAAAATAAAATTATTTATCAATTAATATATAGTTATATGATATAAATTATAAAATTTACTATAATATAACACATGTAAGTCGCACAAGTAACAAGTGTTATTCTAAAATATATAATAACATATATTTTTTGTAAAAAAAGGTAAGTAAAATATAAAACAAATTTTCTCATAATTTTAAAATTTAAGAATAATTTTTTAAGTAGCCGTGTAATACACGGGTGTTGTACTAGTATAACTTTTAAATTATAAAAAATATTAATAATCACGTGCTGACACACACGTGAAACTTCCTAGAAATTAAAGGGCCACATTCTAAGGGAAGTATACAAGATTAAATTGCATAAGGCACCAAAGCTACCTGAAATTGTGGATAATCTGGGGCACTGAATAATGTGATTAGCTTCCCAGATTCTACAGTGTGATCGATAGTATACCCTAAATCCATTCCACCAAGATCAGGTCGTTTATCCCTAGCATCAGGACCTTCATGTGACCTGATAATCAACTGTAGTTGCAGAAAAATGAATCTTAAATAGTAATATAAAATTCATCATACTATTCTAACTACGTAGTACACAACATACAAACAACTTAACTCTAAAATTTAGGACTTCCCATGATTTGCAGTGAAGAAGAGAACACAAGATTTTAAAATCATTTTATAGTCCTCAACCTGGAACCAACTGCAATTTTGTGATTTATAGGAAAAAAACTAATTCTTTTACTTCGTGAGAACAGTTTTGTATTTTAAGAAACCCCAACATGCTCTAGACACTCAACAATAAGTGCTTCACATCTCTTGATGCCATGCAGTTACTAATCAGAAAAGTATTCAAAGCGGCTTCATATTAAACAACTAGCTATTAGTTATGTTTACAGCAGATGCAAATAGATTCGTAGCACTAGGTCCCATTCCACAATTACATCAAAACTGTGAGAAGTCAAGTATTGATGAAAAGAATGCTGTAACTGCAATTTAAAACTTTTTCCGAGGATCAATGTTGGTCGGCTGGCAAAGGGTCACGGTTTGTGTAGACAATGTACTAAAGACGACAAAGGCAGCTCGACAAGCCCAAAATTTCAGAGATATATTTATTTTCTACATAATTGTACTTCAGTCCTTCAAATAAAATACATTTCATTTTATCTCGTACAGAACTTAAATATTAATGGTGTTAAGCACTAGCACTAACACAAGAGTTGCCGGACAAGGTTAACATACACATTACAGAACAGTGTTTGTTGATTTTCGATAATGATGAAGCTTCACATCCAACTATGTCGAAGCATAAATCATAAAAATTTCATGGATTTTTATGTTTATACTCCTTCCTTTCTCAAACCTAGAAATTTAATAGATTCTCAAGTTTTTACTCCCTTGTCCCTTCCCTTCTCAAAGCAATCTCCCTACCGAACCCCTATGCCCACCTCAAACAAACAAAGGAAGAAGTGCATGTGTACAAGTCTAAAAAAGAAAAAAATATTATATTATTAATCAATAATAGGCAGAAACAGAACTACACCCCACTTACATTTGCCCTAAATTTTGAGAACAATGAAAAGACTAGGGCTACTCACGCTTTGTTCCAACATCTAATCTTGGACATGCTGCCATAATAAATGTCTCACGAGTAAATCTTGTATATTTAAGCTTTCACGTTTACGGTAAAAATAAAATATCTAAAGACAAAACTCCATGCTACAAATTGACGAGGGATGC